CCTCCATAAATTCTTTGTCTCTCAGATTACAGTCTTTGCAGAGCACTGAAATCCCCTTAATTCACCAAATCATTCTCTTACAGAAACAACGCTTTCAAATTATTTTTAAAGCCTAATATATGAATAGCAACACTGCTACGGAGCCCCCCAAGAATAATCTGGCATGTTCCACCTCCAGAGCCAGCCCCACGTATCAGCTTAAGAGCAGCAGGTTATTTTTGATCCACTGCTTGTGAGCTGCTTCTACGCACTCAGAGAAGGATGGGGTGGTCAGAAGAGATCACTTCTTTCTCTCCCCATCTATAGAAAGCATCACAAGCAGAAAGCATCAACTGGAGGCATTATTGCTCTACTTTATTTCCAGATCCAAATCAGAACAGAGTGCGAAAGTAGCACGACTCGCTACTCCTCTTCAGAACCATTTTTCATCCATTTCCAACACTTTGGCTTCCCCACTCTTGGGGCAACAGCACTTGCTCCTGGCAGGGAAACGGCATCGATCCATCACCAGCAGAAACACTCACCCGCCAAGATGAGCAGAAACAGAATGATATACTCCATTTCTCTGCAGATACAGAAGAAATTCCCACAGCACCTGAGCATGTCAACACGAAGACATAAACCAGCACTAAAGGCCAGAAATTTTCTTTCCTGCCATCAAACTTGATGTTGTTTTCAAGGTCTAAACATTAAAAAGAATGCACGTAATTCAGCACATCCTCCCAAAGAAACTCCCTGGTGTGTTTGTGTGTTATTTTACTGTCAGGAAGCTGGGAGTAAGTTTAACAAATTATGATGAAGACTTGTTTAATGAAACACCCTCGGAAATGTCTAGGGCTGTAGCAACTAAGACCCTTCAGAGGTTTGTAAGTAGAAGGGTAGTGCAGAGAAGGAGAGAGAGAACAAGAGAAAACAAGTCCCACAGTGGACATAAACTGTCTTAAAAAGCAATTAGAAGGGATAAAAACCACCATAAAAGGTTTGCTCAAGTCTTTAGCAAACACTATTACGTTGCTTACCATATTTCATAGAGAGAGACATAAAAATTTAAGGTAAATACTACTTTTTACCAGCACCTATCACCAACAAAACAGCAGTCTGTAATATTTGATTTATATAAATATGTATTTTTACTGGACATATTCTGTATCCAAAAATTTTTTTCATGTTTCTTATGCCTCCATGTTCTTTTTCCATTTGTACACAGAGTTTAAAATATATTTGATACAGATTGTTGATAGCAGCAAAGAATTAACAAAAACAACTTATATCTGAAGTTAAAAACTGGTTTAGCAAATTTAGTTTGCTGAGGAAATTACTCTTCAAATTTAGATATAATGTGGGAAAGCCATATATCCTTTTTAGCAAATTACTCATTTAGATAGCCCAAAAATTACAACAACCCACACTAGTAACCCTGCCTTAGAAACCATAAGGATTTGAAATATAAACCCACATTTTTCATTAAAAAGCCTGAAGAAGTCAATAAAATTCATGTTATAAACAACTACACTTATTATTCATTTATTATTAATGGGGTACTGAACGAGAAACCAGATGGCTCAAGTGCAACCCCAACTGGATTTAGTGACCACTGATCAGCCGAGGAGGCAACCAGAGGAAACAGTGAGCTGAGGGCTGGTGCTGTGCATCCTGCAGCCACAATGAGAACTGCACTTTGCAGCCTGGTCTTTTGGGTGCTGAACTGCTGTTAAACACATGAACACACACAGGTGGTGCATCATGAACCTCATCTTGCTGTACAGTCCCCACCTCTGTCCTTTCAGGTCTGGCCCATCTCCAGTGCGCTTCACGTGCAGGTGCACATCAAAACCACATGAAAGCCGAAGCCAACAATAAAAAAACCAATCTCTGTACATGATGTAGCTCCAAAAGAACACAACAGGCTGAAAATAATTAAACCACTTCCACTAATAGGCTGTAGATCAAAGTTTGGGTCTATCACTCCACATTCGCTATTTGAAATTAAAGAAAATATTCATGAATGGTAATTATTTCTTTTGTGAACAAAGCATGGGGAAAAACATAACCAATACATTTATATGCATAATTCATTAAAGGAAAACTTTGAACTCTGATTACTGAACCACACCAGAGACAGAATATAACTACTTGTTCCTGTTCTCATACTATTCAACCTCTTAGCAGCCTACAACTCAGTTGAGTATAATTTCCTTTAGTGTATTAAACATAACTCCCCTATAGAAACACAAACACTTTAAGCACATTTACAGCAAAACTGTATCTAAATAATTAGGCATTTCTCTTAGTGTCACCCTGCATACAATTCCCCCATCTGTTTTACATGTCTGCTCACTCTGTGCTGATTATTTCAAAATAAGACTGCAACATATCTAAGGACAAATTCATCCTTTACACTGTGCCTGTGCTCCTTTCTGCTAATATGGAAACAGAGTCACTCATCAACAGATTTCACAGGCTCTATCCCACTATTCATTCTCTTCAGCTTCTACCCAAGACCTTCTTTAGATGAATTTCCTTCTTTAGGAAAACTGCTCATGCTCTCCTGACAAAAATATTGAAACATGTAACTCCACTCCTTTTCCTTAGCACAAACATGCACAGCAACTGTTGTTGTCTATGCCTACAATCAGTCCCTGCAGAGAAACAGAGACTACTCATACTGACCCAGGAAATATGAAGCAATGAGAGTCAAACAAAGAAAAATTTAGAAGCATTGTCAGGAAAAGCTTGTCCTTCTCCATTCAGCAATGACAAATACCCAAGCTAATCCACAGGCTAAAACCTTTCTAACCCAACAATCAACTGAAGTAATCACCAAGAAAGCAACAATAATCAAGTCTTCATTCTGCTTCTGGCTGGCTGTAAAATAATTACTTCCTCCCCAAATATTTTTTTACAGTAGCAAGTGCACCACAGCCTCCAGACTAGCACACAAAAAAATGCTGAGTGGCCGATGTTTGTCTATAACACAATTGCTACTGAACTGCTACAAAGGCTGGAGTTTGTGCAGCAAATGGATGCGCCTCTTGAGGGTTTGTGGCTTCAAGCCAGACACTTCATCCTCCTGTCAATTCCTGCGTCTGCTTCTGTCGGTGAACAAAAGTCAATGACTGGCAGTCAATGAATCAGGACGTAGCTACATCCATAACTATCCCTCCTCATCAACCACAACAGCTTTTCAGAATAAATTTTACTTTCAGAATTTATTTGTGCTTATGAGGTTCACTGTTAAGTTGATTCAAGCAGATGAAAAGCCTCCAGAAGAATTGTGAACTGCTTTACAGTTGTTACGCTGTCCTTTTTGACACAACGGTTGAACAAATTTCTACATAGTATATGTATATTTTTTACCATATATATACATGCATATAATTATTCCCTTGATATAAATATCTCTAATTCCTAATTCGAAGACTAAGTGGATTTTTTTTTAATCCAAGTAAGTATTCTGATACTGGGATATGCAAAACCATGTATATCAATTCCACAAGTCTCTTTTCAGTGAGCCTGTACACTTAATACTACAGCATCAACACAAACGGTATATATTGGTATTCATATTAATTTTTATATATTTATATATATATAGACACACACACACATGGCATTTATATCAGCCCAATGCACTACTCATTTCTTAAAAATTAAACTTTTCAAACAACCAGAAGTCATCTGGTTCTTGATTCGACTTGGTACTGGACTTGATTACAGAATCTGTTAATCAACTAGATAACACAGGCAACAAACTTAAAACATTTCAATTCCTCACAGATTTTCAATCTCACTAATAGCTGCAACCTTGTGCTTAAAATTTATGGCCTGGATCTTCTTGTCACAGGTTGCTAAATTTCTTCACATAATGATGGCTTAAAAGGCATTCACTTCTGGAAGAAAACCGAAGTGAAGCAATGAAAACTAAAGGTGTTAAGTCAATATAGAAATATTAGTTCTAGTCAACATAGAAATTTTAGTTACTAGTAACTAGAACACTACACACATATGAAGCACTTCATTTACATCTCAGATATTTCAAATGAAAATACATAAACAGTTTTGTGTCATACCCACCTCCACACTGGAATGAGGGAAGGGAATATCTCTGGCATCCTCAATTTCAATTCCAAAAGTTTTGTGCAAAAATATCTAACTTACATTAACAAAAAACTTACTGGTAACTCACTGCTCCACTATTTGATCAAAGAACCTCCATAATCTTCAAATGATGAACACCACCTGCCTTAGAAACCTCTCAAATCTCGTTAAGCCAGCCTTTGAGGCATACTGGTTAAAAAAAAACCCCGAAACCAGTTAGTGCTTCATGTTCTTTAAATAACTCCCTGACTGGTTTATCATTGTCATATGAACTAAACAAAAAGGTCTGGTCATGCCTCCCTGTAAAAAAAGGATCTTTTGATCTGTTGTATTGTTGGGCCCTGAATCACTGGCACTACACAGCATTTTCCAAACATTGTTTCTTATACAAAGGGGATAGCTTACATTGGAAGGCTGAAAATAATTTCGCATTAGAACCAGAAACCTGAGGAAGAAAGGTTATATGCTTTTGTGTGCTTCATGTCCATAGTCCATAAGCTTTGGGAAACAATTTTAAATCATAATGCAACAGCAGGCAGTACAGAAGCTTTCTCTTTTATACAATGCAATCAATAATGCAATTTCTTCCACCATAAATCTGTAATCATAGCAGAAACTAAGCTCTGTAATATCCTTGAAACACAAGTTAGTTCACTAAAATTCTTTAAACATCATAATGCATCTTAAAAAATTACTGTTTGTTTAAATCGCATTTTTAGAAGCTCACTTTTCCCAACATGTGCAACTTAATTGAAAAACCTTTATTAGATTGCCTGCTCCACAAACACCTGACCTGCATGGCCCAGGAGCTGTGTGCTTAGACTTCTGTCAACAGACTGTTTGAAGAACAGCGATCAAAGTTGTCCATATCACATAAATAATCAGTGACTTCTCTGGAGTCACTTCAGCGATGTCAGTGCAGCAACACTCAACACCGCAGCTACTTCCATATCAGGATCAGCTCAAGCTGGTAATTAGAAGTAAGCTTACACTACTACTACTTCTCCTACTACGCTTAAGGAAATGAATAGAGGCTTTAGTCTCAGAGAAATCCAAGCTAGCTGTTTCCAAGAGCATGACAGATTCTTAAAAATGCTAACAGAGGAAACGGAGCATCTGCCCATCTAAATTACTTCCACAACTGAACAGCTATATATGTTCAAAACAAACCAAGGGATGAATAAAGAATAATTATACTTACAAGCTTCCTCTTCTGGGGAGACTGAGCTCTTTCTGGAAGAAAAATAAGAATGAAAACCTGAGTTAGTTTTACTTGTTATTATACACTACTAATTTATTTATCAATAAATGACTGAGGTGAAATTAATAAAGAGCTGGCCACTTCCCAACGCATGCTCAGTGCAGAACTCCGCAGCACTGCTGCTGCACATTCACAGAGCACAGTCTGGGGTACAAAAGTTGCTCATTTTGTCTAAACAGTCGTTGCCTTTGTAGTCAAAAAATCATAAGCACTCAACAGAGCAAACATAACTTTGAAATTCAAGCCTGAGCACAGATAAGGCAGTAATTAATTCTGTCCTACATTCCGCATCAGCATCAGACCGAACCACTTCCAGGAGTGTGGAACGCAGTGTGCCTGCAGCTGTGCGGGGTGGTCTCACAATCTCACCAAAAGGAAGAATTAATGTACGAGAATGGCTTTTGGGGGCTTGGTTTGGTTGTTCAGGGTTTGTTTTTTTTAAACATACTTGTGTTACGTATTGTCACAAAAATCGGAGGCCAAACACAACTGCCACTTATCAGCACCGTTTTGCACCTCGGCAGCACAAGCAAAGGCAGACGGGGGGAGTTTTAAGGTTTTTATTTCAGTTTTTATTTTCTCTTTAAGGTTTTTATTCAGCCCACGAGGACCCCAAGGCGCGGCCAGCGATGGACGCGGCATTCCCGAGGGAGCGCCCGTTCCCGGCTCTGGATTTGGCGGCCGGGCGGGGCTGCGCTCCCGAGGGTCGCCGCCAGGTGGCAGCCGCGCCCGCCGCCGGTTATGGGTTTGTATCCCTAAAAATATTCCCTGCCGGGAGAGACCTTGGACAAGCTGATCCCGGGCTGCTTCGCCTCGGCTGATCACAGCAAGTGCCAGCACAGCCAATACCAAGTGGCTGTCAGGATCTACGTGCTGTGTTTTTCATCCCTTCTAAGAAAAAAAAAATTGAAAATCAATGTTTTCACTGAATTCTGGGGGAAAAAACCCAAGTCAATAGGAAAAATATTAAATCCATAAAATCTGGTAAAATGTCTTTTCCATCTTTAGTTACAGCGTTCATGACTGACATGATTGTGTTACTGACAGTCAGTGACTGGTCTGGTCAGTAATGCATGGGAATTGCCTGCAAGTTTTTCAAAGATACCAAAAAGTTACAGCCACTAAAACCAATAAATCAATAAACAAACAAATCAGTCTTAAACAGGCTGTTATTCTTTTCAAGTATGACTTCTCCACAATTTGAAATTTCATTACAGTTTAACAGTACCAAGCAAATTTCATGTGTGAATTATCACAAGGCTGACAGCTTACAGCATCGAGAAATAAATTCCTGTCATCAGACAAACTTGTCAAGATCTAATCAAAACACTTCAAGTGCGTAAGATAATAAATCATTAGCATCTATAACAGGTTGTGTGTTTTATATTCTAAAAAAGGTACTTCTTCCACTTTCATTTGTTAGGAAGAATTATTTTCCAACCACGAAGCCTACGTAGCAATGACAGGTTTTTGCCACTGCAAATGGATAAATAAATAGGTAAGATTATAGGTATTATATATTATTCTGCTTCTGTAGATAGTATAGTACTTACACATGCATATACATCTCTTACATCATATGAGCAGCTGTATTTAATTTATCCTCTTTAAAGAAGATGGGACCTTTTGGCAGAGGGCGCTTTTTCCATTCAAATTACATATTTCTGTTTATTCCAACACAGCCCCAGAAATTTTCAGAATGAATGTATAAAGCTCTGGAATTTCATGGTACTGGCTGGAAAAGCAAAACAGTGACCTTCAAGTCTCTTTATCTACCTTCTAGGTTTTCAGCTTTTAGGGTTCATTTTTACAAGCTTTGCTCTAGTCATTAGGGCTGAAAAGTCACCTAGAGAACGCTCCCTTGCAGCAGCACAGCTCCAATAATTGTGACTTACAGATATACACCACAAGAAACATGGTCCAGGAACAGGAATGGAGAAATCCTTTCCTTTCCTCTACTGAACACTTGTTTTACTCACGTAATTATTACCTTTAATACTGCCTATAATATAGGTAATTCAGAATTAAATGCATGCAAGGTTAGAAGGAGGATTGCCTTGAGCTTTGTTCCTGAAAGCTTTGTACCTTTGAAAACTGTGATCAACTGAGTTCACAAGCAAGCAAGGAAGAAAGTCCTAGCAGATGACATCTCAATGCTACTGAAATATCATCCTATCCATGTAGCAATTGTCTTCCTTCTGCACCTCCACCTTGACAAACACAGTGCAGCTGTGCAATCAATAGGCACTAGCTCACATTTAATACCACTGTGGTCTTGACAACAAAGAGCACAATCAAAACAATCAATTTTTATACCTGTTGTTCCACTGTGCCTCGTTTCATGTTAGTCTTAAAGTCTCCTTCAAAAACCCTAACAGCCACACAGTGAGCCATGTCCCGACCTCCACAGCACTTTTCCTGTCCTCTGGAGAAATGCCAGGGCAGCACCCTCCCAACTCTTCACCCTTTTCTGCCTCTCCAAACCATGGCTGGGAACAGCACCTACAATCCCCCAAACCAGATACGAAGAGCAGGGCCAAGGCGAAAGCACCAGAGCTGGATGTTACACAACCACGAGCAGCGTAATCACATCCTTCGCTTCTCCCAAATCACCAGTGAGTTGGTGTCTGAAAAGGTTATATCCCAGAAGGAAAATGCCTGGAGATGGAAGGAAGGAGAGAGCAGACTGCAGACAACTGATGGCCTATTTCAGGGCACCTATTTGAGGATGCTCACTGTCAGGAGAACACTGCAGGTCTCCAGGGGATCAAGCAGACAATGGAAATGCCTGCCAGGGATGGGGACACACTCACAGGGTGGAGACTCAGCTGTGTCTTAAGATGGTTCAACACTAATGTGTGCAGTGGGACAAACAGAGAGTTTACATCTTGAAATAACAGGGTAGTTTCAAACATATTGAAGAAGCACTACAAAAACAATGATTCGATAATTGCGCAAAATATAAGAGAAAAGTCCAACAGCATTTCACAAGCATCCTACAAAGGTTAAACTCTACTCAGAGTCAGTTTTATAGTACAGATTAAATGTTTTAGTTAGTAAATTATGAGGGAAGTGGTGTGATTTGCCTGGTGATTTGATGCACACCACAGTGGAGTTTGGTATTATATGTCCATGTATCCTGAAAAAATAAATCACATTTTAAGAGGGGAGATAACTAATAAAAGAGTGCTGAGCTGTGACTACTTGGGCTGAAACGCTATTTACGGGGTGCAGCTGTAATCCTTTCAATAAGCTGGTTTATCCTAAAGGACATTTTTCATTTAAGACCACCCTTCTGATGAGAACAACATATGAACATGCAAGATTCTAAACTGCCCCTTCCGACAGCACATCTGCCTCCCCGAGCACTTGTGCTGCCAGTAGCTATATTTATATTACCATTATTACTTCAGCCAGCCCCCATGCCACCTGCTCTCTAGGTCAACAATACAACCCTTAAAATAGAGGCTTACATTTATATTTGATTTATATGAAGTGCTAAATAGCATAAGAACATTTTAAAAGATTGGTGCACATTATTCACACAGAACTTTCAGAAGGGGAAATAAAGAACTACTTCCACAGATCCTAAAAAATAAAGAGTGTATTAAATCTTGCAGTACCCAAATGACAAGAACAGACTGTTCTGAAAGTCAATTTTTTTGTATCAGTTCCATATTTCAAGGCATAATTATTAAACATGCAACTTGATCTCTGCATGACAAAAGGAGCGGCAAATTTTCAGACAAGTAGTTAAAAATGGATCTTGGGAAAGAAATTCAGTATTGTGGAATTCATAAAAAGCAGATTCAAGTACCTGCCTTCAAAAGAGTTCCTTATATTTGTTTCCTTTTATCTTATCACCTCGGATCATGAGGATATGAAGTCAGTTGGACACCATATCATGCTACAGTTCAGGTTTGACAATAGGACTGAATCCTCATTTTTGAGGCAGCAAGGGAGCTAGAAGGGAAAATATACTGGCCATTTCAAACATCACTTTTTCTGTTTATATAATACATTGTTTAGTGCATAGATACTGAAAAATTTATTCAATTGTCAGCTTTCAGATACAGAAACTGCATCTGAAAACAGGAGTGTTTCAGGCAGCAGCAAAACGAGTGCTGGCTTTTCGCACAGGTGTATGCACACGGAAATAAAGTCTGGAAATCTATTTGTTCCTTGACCTAAAATACAACCCATACAGTTTAAACAGATAGGTTATGTTATAAAAGTGTGAAAAAACCAGGAGCCCATCACTCAAATTTGTCACTTTCTCTCAGTCTTGTAATTTGTCCTTGAATATGTAGCTGCGCATATGGCACAGACCCACAGGCAAAGTTGGATGCTGGAGCCTGCACTGATGGCAGCTTAAATGGAGCCCTTGCAAATTAAAGTGAGAACCATCACTACACAGGATGTTCCATATTTTTGCCAGAGCAGACAGCACGATTCCTGAGATTGCCTTTGACCTTGGTTTCTTGCAAGGTAGCTCACTATCATCACTTGGGACAATAGACAAATATTTTTACAGCTATAAGAGCAAATACATTTCAGTTAATAAGTTAATATTTCACAGATGATGAAATTCCACTGACAGTCAGTGACCTGGTACCATGCACTCATGTTTTAATTTTTTTTCCTTTGCTGACTATGTTTGCTTTAGGGTATACTACCAACCAGCAGGGGATTAATTAAATCTCCTTCTATACATAACCATTTGCATTACAGAAATGATATAATGAGGGTTGGAATCTCCAGTTCTGGTGGAAAGTACAACTGGCCGTGCAAGGGCAAACTGTAATCCATCCATCAGATTAACAGAAAGGAATTTTTCATGGTGATTTAAAAAAAAAAAAAAAAAAGAAACCCACCCCACAATAAGCTTCTCTTTCTCCTATCAGAATCTGTCAGGAAAAATAATTTCCTTCTTTTCACCATATCATTGTAAATGGTTATTAAAAACAGCACTTCTCAATTTCTCTTTCTAGAAATGATTACATCTGAACTTGTTTTCCAAACTCATCAGCAAAGAATTTTAAACAGCAACACTAAAACCATATCTACATTGAAGGTCAGATTAACCTATGGAATATGCTGCAGATATTTTCTACAATTTACTGACTTTTTAGAAACTAAATTCGGGATCATACTGTTAGATCATCTGCTTAGCTACAGAGATACTTAAAATACAGAAAATGAATACTCAAGCTCTTGCCAATACTATTCAAAATATTCAGAGGACACGGAGTTTAATTCCCAGACCTTTCTCCGCACTCCACTGAATTTATGTCTGCCATCACACAAATTCATGGATTGCCATGGATGGCTTAGCCCCAGTGCATCTTCCCATATTCCCAGTACCAGCCAAACTGCCTGGAACCACCCTTTCCTAAGAAATCTCACCTCCTCGGTGACAAAGTGCCACAGCTCTCAGGACAACATGAGTGGCACAGAATAGCCAACAGTGTACCTGTTCACCCAGTGCTACCCTAAACATACTACAAGTTCAAAGTAAGTTAAATTTACTGTTTGGAGTAGTTCTCTACCCCAGCAGAAGTTGCACGTCAGTAAAAATGCCATTTGCAAAGTACATTAACATATAAAACCAAATGGGGA